TGAAGAAGTCTTGCAGCAGTTTCTGGATCTTTGGAATCCTCGTCGACCCGCCCACAAGCACAATCTCGTGGATGGCCGATTTGTCCAGTTTCGCATCACGCAACGCCTTCTCCACCGGCTCCAGCGTGCCTCGGAACAGATCTGAATTCATCTCCTCAAAGCGGGCTCGTGTAATTGACGTGTAGAAGTCGATACCATCGTACAACGAGTCGATCTCCAGATTGGCCTGTGCACTCGAGCTCAGCGTCCGCTTGGCACGTTCGCAGGCTGTGCGTAGTCGACGAATGGCCCGCTTGTTGTCGGTCAGGTCCTTCTTGAATTTCCGTTTAAACTCACCCACAAAGTGATCCACCAGACGGTTGTCAAAGTCCTCCCCGCCCAGATGCGTGTCGCCCGCTGTCGATTTCACCTCAAACACCCCCTCGTCGATGGACAACACGGACACATCGAACGTACCGCCGCCCAGATCAAAGATGAGCACATTCTGTTCGCCCACATTACTTCCCTTCTTGTCAAGACCGTAGGCAATCGCGGCTGCTGTCGGCTCATTGATGATGCGCAGCACATTCAGGCCCGAGATCGCGCCCGCATCCTTGGTCGCTTGACGTTGACTGTCGTTGAAATAGGCCGGCACTGTGATCACGGCATCCGTCACCTGCTTGCCCAAATACGCCTCCGCCGTCTCCTTCATCTTCAACAGCACCATCGACGAAATCTCCTCCGCCGAGAACACCTTCTTCTCGCCACGGTACTCGATGCGTACTTTCGGCCTCCCGGCCTCCTGGATCACCTCGAACGGCCAATGCTTCATGTCCCCACGCACCGCTGGATCGTCGAACCTTCTGCCGATCAGGCGCTTCGCATCGAACACCGTGTTTGTCGGATTCATGGCCACCTGATTCTTGGCCGCGTCGCCAATCAGACGTTCCGTGTCCGTGAACGCCACATAACTCGGTGTTGTTCGATTGCCCTGATCATTCGCGATTATCTCCACCTTGCCATGCTGGAAGACCCCAGTGCACGAGTACGTCGTGCCCAGGTCAACCCCGATAGCCGGACACTTTCCGCCCACCATATTCTGTCAACAATCTAGTTTTGCTCAAATCCCCTTTCAACAACACTTGCACTGCCAGTAGATGTAG